CGAGGAGGGCTCGACCTCCAGAGAGTGGCTCTCCCTCCTTCCCATCCTTTCACTTCGAAAGCCTTCCCAGGCGCGTGAACTCTAGGAAGTGGATCATGGAGCATCTCAGAACACTTGGGATTGCCTCACTTGGTTCCCTTCTGATTGCCACACTTGGTTCCCTTCTGATTGCCACACTTGGTTCCCTTCTGGTGGTGGGAACCAGCAGGATCTGGGGAACGGGACAAGTGCAGAAAGGTTTGGCTGATTTCCATCAGGTCAGTGGGGTAATTTCTTTTGGGCATGTACATTTCCCCTGTTCTCATCTGCTTCTCTGTGCCTCCAATTCTATTTAAGTAGCAAAGAAAGTATGTTTTTTGGTTAGTTTGCCTGTAAAATTTATACCAGTAAAAAAAATTCTAATTACTTAAAAGCAGGACAGTTTTAAAATTTGGGAATGGATGTATAGGCTTACAGTGAAATAAAAAACGACATAAAACAGATCTATAGATGCTTTCATTGGTCACAGAAAGCTCCTAGTTGGCTTTGAAACCCTTGTGTTTACTTGAACACAAGTGATCACTCCCTGTATAGTCAGTCTTATAGGGCTGCCCTAACTAGAAATGCTCGTGCCATTCTTARGAATTGTTGTTGATCACTGTCTTAATGATTAATTCATCTGCTCACTGTTAAGCTATTTGAAATGTTTTAAGGTCTTAGTTTTATCTTCAGTCATTGCTAACGTAAAATCCTTACTCTTSTGATGTGGCAGCAGAGCAGAGAGTAAATGCTTTCAAAAACCCCCAGCAACTTAAACCATTTCTGTGTGGATTGGACAGGACTGGTAGAAAGACACAGCTGAGCAATACTGCTATGTTGTACGTTACCTGAGTCCTCTGAACCTTCCCTAGCAGAGGAGAAACAAAGAATAGGCTTGAATTATTTTGAAAGAATAACCTTGTTTTTGTTGTTGTTGTTGTGCTGGGTGACCAAAATGCGTGGAGTGAATGCAGGGGGAGCAGGGCCGAGGAGAGAGACCATTTGAAAAGAGATGGCCACAAAGCAGAGAAAGATAAAGCCTTGCTACCCCTTCCGCTAGCTGTTCCCCTCWTCTTGCTCTCTTAAGCCTTAACACACACACGAATATGGGCTAACTCAGTTTCTCTGACCCCCTTTCCCTACATATATGTACTTTTTACTAATCTTTTAGCCTCTCAGGAATGCAGGTTACTCATTTTCTTTGCACACTCGCTTACAAGTATTTTTTTTTTATATATATATATATATAAATATCAATTTTATATATATATATATATAAATATCAATTTGTGGTCATTTTGGTTTCCCATTTCAGTACTCTTGATTGGTCTCACAGACCTCCTCAAACACTTTGCCCTAATCCCTGAGTCTCCATTTTCTTCCCTCCCCAATTAAGTGACAGAAAACYTCAGCAGAAACTTGCCTTGCATTCACCACTAGCTTCTCAGAGTCCTTGCCGTCCACCCAAGTGCTTTCCCTGCCTGCCCCATCCTTGATGTTCCAGGACTTTGCTTACTTCCTCCAACCTAAACAGCTTCTTGTGCCTTGTGTTTCTGATCCGTTGCTTCCTCTGCTGTTCCTGCTGTGACTGATTCTTGACTGCCCTCACAGACCTCTCCTCCTTTGCACTCTGCTCTTTCCCCTTCTTGATTCCATCTTGTCCTCTTCCCCTTCCTTCAGGATGGGGCAGGGCTGCAAAGTTTGCTGGTTTTCCACAATATGGTGGAAACTTCTGTCTCCTTTCTTGGCAGATGTGTCTGTTTTCCCACAGAACAGTGATCTCCAGCTGTCTGTGGGGTTTTCACCACTTCTGCTTCACAAGACAAATCCAAAGGCTGAACTCCTCAGTCTCAAAAGGAAAGACTTGGATAGCGCCAGGCGTGGAGTGTGACTCTTGTTTAGAAAGTTATTCCTCCTCCTTTGGATGTGAAATAGTCCAGTTGTTTCTACTGAATATTTGGTGTATATGACTCAATTGGAAAAAAACCAATACGTATTCACAGCAGTGTTCACAGACACTCACTTGAAAATATAATTTGTGCTTTTTCAAAACCCAGGCCTTTTTTATTATTATTAATTTCCTGATCGGAATGAGTGAGGACTTGGAAGTTATTTCAACTCACGCTGCAGTGTGTAGCATATAATTTGTTGTAGCTTAAAAGCTCTACCTCRCGGAAGATTAGGCTTTCTGGAAAATTGCTTTGATACAAGAAAACAACCTGTTCTCATGATGTATTTCAATAGCTTCTCTAGTGAAAAGTGTCAGAGTTAAAAGAAAGAAAGAAAAAAAAAGATACTTTCAAATCGATAGATCAGTCTCTAGCTGGTTAAATGTAGTCTGCTACTCCTGTACATTATAATTTAAGGGCCACTGCATCCTGTCAGCTTAGTTTCTCTCTGCAGGGTTTTGCAGTGGAAAACAGGATCTCTGCATTCCCTTTTTTGTAGAAAGTGGTAATTTCTTACCAACCTTTGAGTGCAATATTATATTTCAGCTTCTATACGAAATAATTAGTGCTCTCTGCACTGSTGAGGAGTGGAACTAGCTTATAACTCTTGCCTGGCTGCTGTCTTGTCTTGCTGTGCTATTCATTTGTTTGACTCAAAGGATGAAGGCCGCTTTGCTGTGAGAGATTTGGAGCAGGCTTTGTCTATGTGAGAACTCCAAATGGCACAAAGCAATGCAAGATTTTATTGATGCGCTTAGTTAAGCTTAAAAGTCTGCTGATTTTTTTTTTTCTTCTCTTGGCAATTATTTCCATGTAGCATTGTATGCTTAATTTGATGTAACTTTGAATCATTTCACTTCTCTGTTTGAGCTTACCCATAATCATATCTGTCATCTGTAATTTTCTTTTTTGGTGTTAAATGCTAATGCTTCTCTTTCAAGTTCCGTAGTGGATGTGAGACCTCTTCCCTAAGAGACCTGGCTAAGCACCGACTACCTCTTGTGTCCCAGTTTCTACCAAAGAGGCCAACAAGAAGTTGTTGCACCCTGTGCAGAATCTCTGTCTATTTTGTGTGGTGTTGAGATCAAAGGTGCTGTTACCAGAACTGAAATCTTGTGAAAACTCCTTCAGAAAAGGCCTCTGTGTTCTTCCCATTCCACACCTCGTCTCAGGAATTTAAATGAAAAATTGACTGTTCTGTTAGAGTTCCCATCTTGATGGAATATAACTGTGAAAGATACTTAAGTGGTCTGTGTCCAGCAATCTCCAGTGAAACGATGTAATACCTCTGCAGTTTGCACTTGCAGGTTGTAATCTTCCCTTCTTAAGATGTAAACTTCTAGAAACTGTATTTCCTTTTGTAAATTTAGATCTCATTGGGATGATAGCAACACGGTGGCACCCATTACTGGAGTGCTGTAACGGACGGATAACGGCTCTTTAGGAGGGGTGGGCCAGGAAAGCGAGGAAGGGGAAYTGCCCTTTACTCAAGAGAGCAGCTGGAATGTGCAGAGCTCTGGCTGCACAGGCTGAGAGGTCATGGGCTAGAATTAGTGGGCAGAAGGACATGGATGAGTCTGTAGTGGATGTTGGCTGTAGACTGCTGTGATCGAGAAGTAGATGAGGCCTTCAGACAAGTGGAAAAAGTCTCACCTTCATAGGTCCTGGTCCTTGTGGAGGACTTCAGTCATTCCAAAATGGACAATACAACAGGACACTAGCAGACAGAAGGTTTCTGGAGGGCTTTGAYGGCAACTTCCTGACACATGTGATTGAGGAGCACACAAGGAGAGACTGGAGCGAGGAAGAGCTACCCKTGGTGGATCTGTTAGGGAACATTTAAACAAACTGGATGTACAGAGGTTCCTGGGACCTGATGGCAACATTGRAGAGTATGAGGGAGCTGACTCACGTCACTGTGAGGCTAATCTTGATAGTCTTTTCATGATCATGGCAATTCAGGGAGGCTCCTGAGGAATGGAAGAAAACAAATGTCACTGCAGCCTTCAAAAAAGCCGAGGAGGAAGACTTGGGTGACTACAGGCAGGTCAGCTTCTCTCTAACCCTTGGAGGGTGATGAAGCAAACGATCTTGTCTGTATTGCCAAATATATGAGGACAAGAAGGTTACTGGGAGTAGTGAGCCTGGATTTACAAAGCAGAAGTGTGAAACTGTGCTTAACCCACCTGCCTTCTGTAATGACTAGCTTGGTGAGTGAGGGGAGAGCAATAGACACCATTTATCTCAACTTAGACACCATTTATCTCAGCTTGAGTAATACTTTTCACACTGTCTCCTGTCACTTTGCCTTGGACAGACTGCTCAGGCGCAGGCTACACAGGTTGACAGTTGAGTGGATTGAGAAATGACTACAGGGCATGGAAGGTTGTGGTCAGTGGCATGAAGTCTGCTGGAGGCCAGTCACTAGTGGAGCACTCCAGGAGTCAATACTGGCTCCAGTGCTGCTTAACATCTTCATTAATAACACAGATGATGGGAYTGAATGCACCCTTGCCAAGTTTGTAGGTGATACAAAACCGGGAGGAGTGGCTGGTGCACTACGTGATTGCCAATCAGAGAGACCTAGAGGGGCTGGAGAAACAAGCAGAGAGGAAGTTCATGAAGTTCCACAAAGGGAAGGGCAAAGTCCTGCCCTGAGGCAGGGCCCAACCAGCAGCTTTGGAAAGCAGCTGTGCAGAATAGCATCTAAGATTCCTGGTGGACAGCGTGTTGACCATAAGGCAGCATTTCAAGGATTTCACTTGTTTTCAGCAGTTAGTGTCATGTCCCCCAATGCTACAAATAGAATTAAGTCATGTTTTTCACCCTCTGTGCACCTGCAGAAGTTGAATTTTTGCTTGCAGCACTGATACTGTCATGGTGTTTTTGCACATCTTGCTGTAAGTGCTTGAAGAAATTCTCACTGTAAGAGCTCAACAAGCTTGTGTTCTTAGTTACTATCATAAAGTTAATTATGTAACTGCAAAACTGAAGTCCATGTAGACAGTATGCACAAGCACTGAGGCTGTGTCGATGGAAGGTAATTTTACTGGAAGTTTGATCAAGTAATGCTGCTCAGAATGACAAACATAATGTCAAATACTGAATTTTTTAAAAATCTGCAACTTTTCAGTGTCTTAAGAATGTTTCTCTCTTGTAAAGCCATTTGTGAACATAGGCAGTTATTACAAGTCTGTAATGTATGCTTGAACTGAGAATTATTAAAATAAATGATCTTTTGTTGAAAACTGACATTGGATCACTATGATGACCTCCTTGTAAATACAGAACACTGTGCTGAAGGCTCTCTATTAGATAAATATCTTAGTTTATCTGTTCGCTTTCATATTTTTCTCTTATACAGCTTAAACCTTGAAGAAAATACTGTGCCTTTTGATGTCATATTTGGAAGCTCTCTTCCCCTTGGAGCAGGGGAAGAAATTATTCTCTTGTCCTCTATGGATCAAATTTCCCTGTCAATGGCCGTGAGACCATTCAGAAGATTTTTGTCACGTTTCTTTGAGGTCTGCTCGGGCCACTATATTTTCTAACACTGAATTTYTGTGGCCAGATCATCCTGCTTAGTAACAGCTGAGATTTACTCATTTGGGAAGAAGGTAATGGGTGGTTATGTCCCTTTTACTTTTTTTTTTTTTCTGTGGAGGATATATTGCTGCAGTAAAATGATGGCATCCCCTCCTTTGCACGATGTACAGACACACATAGGACAAGGCTCATGAGCAGAGATTACGCATCTGTAGTTCTAAAATTTTGATGGTGTACATGGAGGTTTGTTTCCACTTTTATCAGTTGTTCTTAAAAAAAAAAAAAAGAAGTTACCTTTTGCCAACAGCTTTACTTTGCATACTGGAAAAATGCAGTGGTGCTTATTGATGGGAAAATACTTTCTTTATCCAAACAGCAAATGCATTTAACTGCAATGAATCTGCACATGCTTTCTGGCCTCTCATAAAGGTAGAGTTATTCCCTCCCTCCGCTATGCACTGACGACTGACATCAGATGCTCTTTCAACCTTTATTGCCTCTGATTAATTGACATAAAGTAAATCCTACCCTACCCGAAAACAGCATGAGGCAGCCTGTGTTGAGTGCATTGCTCAGTGGAGCAGCGCTCTGACTCAATGCTGTAGTATCTTCTTTTTCTGAAGTATTCCCTTCTTTGTTTTTAAAAAGGAACAGTGAAGCAGCCTGGAGCTGGACCTGGAATCGGGCTGCCATTGACTGGAGTTCAGAAAACAGCAGGTGCTTTGAAAACAGGGGCCAGAAACAGAGCSGGTGGATGTTGACTAGGAGCCTCTGTGAAGCATCAGCTATGGTCTTTGCTGTCTCCTGCAGACCCTTTCCCGYTCTTCCCTTCTGCATAACTGATCCTTCACATCAAGCTTTAAAGCATCCACTGGAGGGGAGAGAGCAGGTGCAAAGGCCGGTTCTCTTTCTTTGTCGGATCCTTCTTTCAGATCACATGCCTCCAGGATTTGCATCACGAACTGTGATCTTTCATTAATCCTTTCTGTTGTCCCGAAATGCAGTCATTTCATTAATGTTTCAYATGGGCTTGAGCGGGACTGTTCTCTATTGAATGTCTGAGTGATGCTGCTATTCATGATGACAAACTTGATGATAGGGTCAAGACCAAAGTACAGTTCAGCCTATTTCAAGCTACAGTTTCAAACCACCTTTCAGCAAGCCAGATATCTGAAATGGGCTCGAATTTTGCCATGAAACACACAGAAAATGCAGAGTGGGTGCGTAGGGTGATTGTATTTTTGCTGGCTTGTCATGTAAGAAACGGGCAGCCTGCTGTGTGCCGCAGGCCCTGCCTCTGGGACATGGGATACGGGACACTGGGTACGGGATACGAGACCTGGTCCTGCTGTGAGCCTCTTTCCTGCGAAGGAAAACCATCAACTGCGGCTAAGACCAGCGGCTAGAGGCATCAGCTGTGGAACAGTCCCCGCCTTCAAAAACTTTTTATGTATCTTGCTTGGTATTTTGTATATAAAAAGATGGTGGAACAGGAAGGATCAGTGTTTGTGAAACCCTGTTCCTCTCCTGAGCGGTGCCTGCCCTTGCTTGAAAGCAGGGGGTGGAGTGACATGGAGGCTCCTGATGTTGACAAGGGACCTTCTGCTTGATGCCAAGTTCACAGAGCCCTAAGCTGGGCTTCACTGGAGGCTACTTGGAATTCATTTCACACTTCATAAATCTGCAGCAGGAGGCAGCTTCGCAGGTATTTCATTAACCGTGGAGCATATGTGTCGAGAGGAAGGTGTGCGCGTCTCACGTGCCCGGCGCCGCTTCCCTCAGCGCCGCTTCCCTCAGCGCCGCTTCCCTCTGCGCCCGCTTCCCTGTGCGCCCGCGTTAGTGACCGGAGGCACCGCGTGGGTTCTGGGGCAGCAAGGTTCAGTGCTGCAGCCCAGGCAGGGAGCTCTGCTCAAGTTATTTGCAGCCCTTGTGCCTGAGTGGAAGGCAAACTCCGTTACTCCTACTCCCGAGGGCAAAAATGGCCGTGGTTGGGGTAGGCCGCTGCTGGGTAGCTCCAGGCTGTTAAGGCTGGTGGCTAAATAAAGCGTTGGGAGAAATGTCTGAAATCCCATCAGAATCAGTGGCCAGAGGCATTTAAATGCCTCTTAGAAGCCCTGGTGCTCTATCTTGGCCGTGGATACTCTGGATATTCTTTACAAGAGTGGACTGTGGATGACTTTCCCCTGCTATGTTTTTTTTTTCAAAGGGAGGGAAGAGTGATGAGGAATGGGGAAATGTTTGCCCTGCCCTCTTTGCATTTTCTGTTCTCATAAACACAGGGTATGTGTGTGAACCATTGTTATTAAACGCCTCTCACTTGCTCTGAACTCTTTCTGAGGCAGTGTAAAAGCAGAGACTGATTTAGTGTCTTCAGCTATCCAGGTACGGAGAGAAGACAGGTAACAGGTAGATGGAAATGAAGAAGTGAGGGCCTTCCCATCGATATGGTTTATGATAWAGGAGAAGAAAATGAAGCCTCAAGCAAGATTTGAATCAGGAATGCAAATCAGGAGTTAAACTAAAATTAAATCKATGTGTGTCACTTTATCAAGTTTGAGGTTTGCGAAATAAGGGAAGTAGAGATGTTGTTTAAGAAGCCGGACTAGGTAGTGAACTGCGTCTTGAAACTTCCTTACAACTGCTTAAATCTAACACCATTTTTTCCTGTGCAGTCCTTAAAAGCTTAGACTTTGACATATCTGTGGTCGTCTCTTGAAAACAGCTTTATTTGCAGATATTCACAAAATTTGTTTTCATGATTCCTGTGTTTCTTATTTTGTTAGCCTGTTGTACTGATTTGGCCACTTGTCCAGCTAGAAAATTTTGAGTTCTACTGATCCAACAACAACAATGAAAAAAGAAATTTGGGATCATGTTGTCTGTCTGTGCTTTTCAGTAGGTTTCTCACTCATGTCTTCTTTTTCCTCCCATTTGCCAACATCAATTCAGCTTTGTTGCATTGAAGATTTAAAAAAATAGGGGATTAGGTAGGAGAGAGCAACTTGATCTCTTTTCCTGAGAGAAAAAGGCTCTGTTTCAAGGTGTGATTTAGAAAAATCACATATGAGACTACAATTCTTAAATTGCAAGTATTGCAATCTTCAATTCTTAAATTGCAAGAACGCTTCATTTGGAGGCTGGAAAATTGCCAGCAAATAGGAGGCTGTAGGTTTCTTTAGTGCTGATGCTCATGGAAGTGCTTGTCTCATTGAAGCGCCATTAATTGGCCCAGATAAGTTGAGCATCATTAAAAGTGTTGCCAAAATACTTGCAGACAAGTTGGGTCTGCAGTTGAAACCTACTATTACAACACGCTGGGTGGATGTTCTGCTCTGGCCTCTGTTGRGCTCAGCAGCAGCTGGATTGCACTTGCATTCAAAGAATCACAGAATGGCTGAGGTTGGAAGGGACCTCTAGGGATCATCCAGTCCAACCCCCCTGCTCCAGCAGGGACCCCCAGAGCATGGAGCCCAGGGTGGCATGCCGGCAGGTTTGAAAGATCTCCAGAGAAGGAGACACCACAACCTCCCTGGGCAGCCTGCTTGTCTCAGAGTTTTCCAACAGCAACTGGCCTCTCTTTGATACATTAGAAATATGTTTATGCTTAACRTGTATGCAAAGCATATTGGTATATATATTTACAGTTGTTGCACTGTATTCCATATACTCTTATACTCCATATACTCTGTGATCTCCCTGAGAGGTAAAACAAGTGAGGCAAAAAGGAGCTATAGGTTAACCCTCTGGTAGCTTTTTGAGAGCATTAAGCGTCTGCTTCGGATAAAGAAAGAAAAACAGCTGAAATGGAAATGAGATCTACTAAACACACGAGCGATTTAGTTCATCATTTAAAGAAAAAACAAAACAAGAGGTTCAAAGGAGTTAACTGCAGCTTCTGATTTTATTTGCAACATGGTGTCATTCATTCAAAATTGTTACACAAAATAGAAATAAAAATCCCAGTATTATTTTTAAGTAGCCTGTTACAGAAAGAGGCATGTCTTTGAATATTGYGTGATTTGTTTTCCTGTTTGTGGCACACAGCTGTGTTGCACATCCAGCAAATCTATACACTGCTGACGCAGGGTGAGGCAAGGGCTTTCCTTGGGATGCTCATGTCTTAACAGCTTTTACATGATCATTTTGACTTTCCAACATGTTCCTGCCATCTCTTCTCATTTGCTGTTGCAAAGTATCTCTGGCAAAGACAGCTCTTGTGTATGAAAAGATTTTTAGAACATCAATATTTATAACTGTCTTATAGTTTAGCAGCCAAAGCTGACAGAGGAAAACTGTGCAGCGAGATAGCTTTCCAGCACCTTTGTCCAATGTTTATTTTGGATGGTGTTGGCAGGCAGATTGCCACCTTTTTTTCTGTGGAGTGAATTCCTACCGGACATTAAAAAAAAAAAAGTATTTTTTACGTGTTTTTTTTTAAGCTTCTGGTGGATTCTTAGCTTCATTATATTAACAGTTAAATCACAGGATCACAGTCTGGTTGAGGAAGAGACCCGTGTAGATCATCTAGGCCACCAAGGTCAACTTCTCTCAGAGGCTTTCAATATGTTGAAAGCCGGCGCTGGGGAGGTGCCATTCTGACTCAAAAAAAAGGTGCCTCTTTTATCTGATGAATATTTGTAAACTCTTCAGAGCTGTATCCATTTTATTTACCACAAAGAATTTTTTTTTTTGAGAGAGAAAACACATTATTTTAGTTATGTTTTACATTTCTGTGGCAAGGAATGGCAATGTATGTTGAAAAAAATGGTGCTGAAGTTGCAGGATCTTGTGCTTAAAACTTTATCGTCTTAGGCATACGATGGGCAAGTCAAGGCAAAACCTGTATCATAACACGGATTCATAAGACACTGTTTTTACCTCGTGCCCCAGTAAGATGCTTATCTTGCTGCCCCTTTTCACACCCATCTGGCACAGAAACAAGTGACATTCAGAGCACAGATTCCAGCCTGTGAGGAAAAAAACTGTCAAAAAAAAAAAGGATGGAGGTACTAAATTCCAAGAAAGGGTTCCAGAAAATCAAACCTAATGGATATCCCAAACTTACTATCAATCACCTTYGTGCTGCCCTGAAAGCTTTCTGAAGAAAAGGAATGCCTTTTCTTCAGATCCCAAGGGATCCCAATGGGATCCTAGCCTGCATCAGGAGGAGTGTTGCCAGCAGGTCAAAGGAGGTGATTYTGCCCCGCTACTCAGCTCTCGTGAGGCCGCACCTGGAGTACTGKGTGCAGTTCTGGGCACCCCAGTATAAGAGGGACGTGTTGTTTCTAGAGACGGTCCAGCGGAGAGCAACTAAGATGATTAAGGGACTGGAACTTCTCTCGTATGAGGAGAGACTGAGTGAGTTGGGCCTGTTCAGCTTGGAGAAGAGAAGGCTGAGAGGGGATCTTATTACCATGTATAAGTACATGAAGGGAGATTGTAGGGAGGAGGGGGCCAAGCTTTTCTCAGTGGTGACCAGTGATAGGACAAGGGGTAATGGGTGCAAGCTGAAACACAGGAAGTTCCGTCTCCAGGTGAGGAGGAACTTCTTTCCTGTGAGGGTGACAGAGCAGTGGAACAGGCTGCCCAGGGAGGTTGTGGAGCCTCCTTCTTTGGAGCTCTTCAAAACCCGSCTGGACGCCACCCTGTGCCACGTGCTCTAGGTGTGCCTGCTTGAGCGGGAAGGTTGGACTAGATGATCTSTAGAGGTCCCTTCCAACCTTGAACATTCTGCAATTCTGTGAAGAAGCAGCCCTGGGAATGACGCTCACCCAGGTGCCTCTAGTGAATGAGATGCACAGGGCCTCAGTGTAGCATTAAATGCCTGAACAGTCAGGTGCGAGGAAAAGCTTCTTGACTGTGAGGGTGACGGAGCCCTGGAACAAGCTGCCCGGAGAGGTCATGGAGTCTCCCTCCCTGGAGATCCCCAGAACGGGTCTGGCCCCTGCAGCTGCCTCGTGGCTCCCACGTGCCTTGTGCGCCAGGCCGGGAGCGCCCCAGCTCTTCGGGGAGCCCCTTTTGGGCTCCCTTCCGCTCACCTGAGGCGAACGGTCGCCCTGTTGTCGCTCTTGGATCAAGGCCCCAGAGGCCGTGGCCTACGTAGCAGGCTGGAGAACCTGACTTGGACAYGTCCGGATTTGGTTCTTCTTCAGGTTCGCAACACATGAAATTGTGTTCTGTTTTATAGTCCGCTTTTATTAGTCCTCCCAAAACTGGGCCACCCCCCAGACAGGAACATGAGATTTATGAGGCCAGAGAAGGAGAAATCCTGAGGGGAACTGGCTCTGTAACCTAACTGGCTAATGCACTTGCCTGTGAAAAAGAAAATATTGACACCCCCTCAGTGTGGCTTTTCTGGATCATCCTTTAGAAGTCTCTATCTGCATTAACTTCCTAATGAGCCCAGGTGTATAATTAGGATGCTTTTAATTACCCTACTGATTTATGGATTTGAAGTGAATACTTTGGATTTCACTAGAATGTGTCTGCTGTGATCTTTAATAGATAACTTTGCAGATTGCCCCTTTTAAAATAAATTTGCATTTTATGCAAACYACAGCTAATAGTCTGTATACCAGTAAAAATTAAAATGTTTGTTTTGATGCAGTTTTGAAAGAGGTCTGCCTAACCGCTTCCAAGCGGTAACTTCATGTAACCTAAATCTTGAAAATCAGCCTCTAGTTGAATTTTTACATTGCATTGTTGTTTATCTTTTATCATAATTACATATGATAATTTTCTAATGTGATAATATGATAATTTTCTAATGTGATTTTTTTTTCTTCCTTTCAGCCTTTCTTCCAACTTGTAAAGTTACGGAAACTAGGACTTAGTGATAACGAAATCCAGCGACTGCCTCCAGAAATAGCAAATTTCATGCAGCTGGTGGAACTTGATTTATCTCGAAATGGTAAGCTGAGAGGTTCATATGTTTGATTCTCTGCCGCTGAATGGCATGATCTATAAAACTGAGTCAATAGAGTCTTTCTGTCCCTGAGGTTGTGATATGTGTCCTGTAAAATGCTCTTCTGTGTTATGCCCAGGTTTGCTTGTAGTTCTAGATGAGGGGGGAAGAGCGAAGAGAGCTGGTGATAGAAATACAGTAACAAAATATTGTTTGGCTCTCGTCTGCCTGAGAGGCTCCTTTATTTTCTCCTATAAAGACCGCTTTAAATCCTATTTTTATATGTGTATATGTCTCTTCAGGTGTATTTGTCATGCGGAGATTTCTTTCCCCAAGCTCYCTTAAATGTCTAGAAGTCAAGAAAAGAACAAATATTTGAACCGAAAAGAACAAAATAGAGGATAAAGCTCCTTTCTGTCCAGAAGGAGCTGCCCAGGGGTCAGAGGTCCAGCTTGGGGTGCCTTCCTTTGTAGGGATTTGGTTGGTTGCACTTAGGGCAAGCTGCTAATTCTTACTTGTACTTTCAGAAGAGGAATTGTTCTGATTGCCTCTTCCAGAGCTCGGTTCAGAGAAGAAGGCTGGAAGTAATTGCCTTGTAAAAGTTACTGTTGGAAACTGCACGGATTTGTCGTTCTGTTGTAATGTTGGCTTCAGTTGCCACTGCTTATATTGTTCCAAGCAGTGATGGAGTGAAAGTCGCTTGGTTCTTACTGTTTTCTGTAGTCTGGGGAACCTAGAAGAATATTCAGAGCCTGATGGGTCACCTTTAAGCAGCCTTGTGACCCAGTGGTCTAGAAACAGCATTACCAAAGTGGAGCAACTGCCAGCTATTTTTGCCTTATATTCAGTGAATAGGCACAAAATGCTCTCTGGGGATGGTGGGCAGAGGGAGCTGGGTTGTGCTTGTCTGTCAATAGAAGAGAGATTTGAGAATATTGAATATTGGGAGAAAAAAAAAAAAAAAGAACAGTTAAACTGGAAGTGTTTTCTTCTTTGTGGTTTTGCTTCTCCTTGACTCTTTGCCACGGAAGAATATTCAGGAGTCACTTTGCTGTCCTGTAACAACCTGGGTTTTGCATCTTTCCTTTATTTGTCTAATGGTTTTAATGCCATCTTTATCTGATGGAGTAATTGCTGAAGTGTAACAGGTCTAGGCAGTTGTTTAAAGATTTCTGTGTACCGTATAACTTTATACACATTTACAAAACCTTGTAAGAGAAGAAAGCTGAAGAGAAACAATCTGAGAGACAGAATAAACACATCAGTTAAATCACTTCAGCAATACATGAGCATTAATTGATTCAGTGTTTTGGCTACCCACTTTGGCTGAGACCAGGGCCGTCTGTGACAGACCTTATACACTAGGAAATACTGTGTTGGCTCAGTAATTCCCTTTGCTAATGAATAACTAGCTGCAAAAGAGCCGATGGATCAGAGCCACATGAACTGTTGTGAGCCTGGCTTGAGGGCTGGCGTGAGAGCTCAGCTGAAGCAAGAGCAGATGGTGTGAACGCTTGTGCCTGGGTAGGTCCGTGCGTGTCATTAGAAGTTACTGCACAAGGAAGTGCTTTCTGAAGTGATGCCTTGGACTAACACGAGGTTCAGGAAGCGATTTCTTTCCTAGATCCAAGGTTCAGTGTTAATCACCCATTTTATTGCATTATTTTCCCTTCTCCGTGGTTCACTGCTGAAGGTGACTGATAGAGCTGCCCTCTGCTTCATCCTGTCACACTTGTTGTGCGACGTGACTCTTCAAGCTAAGCACAAAGACACACACCCTGTGAGGGGGCACAGTGGGTCCATGAGGGGAGATGACTGATTTCTTTCCCCTCTCTAATCATGTTCTGCTTGTCTACAACTCCTTTGGCTCTCCAAATGAAAAGCAAAAGAGTGCACCATATGGAGTGCTGCAGGGGAAATTCTCACATGGAATTTGGGGCATTTGCCATTTTTGGTCCTTAGCTCCGCGCTTTGATCCCAATACGTTAGATCCACAGCCTTCCAAAGGTTTCTCCTGTTCACTGCTCGGTGCTTGTTGTTGTTTTTCCAAGGAACAAACAGCTTAGCAGAGCTAGGAACCCTCGTGCTCCTTTCAGACACAGCAGAACAGCGCAGCTCCTCAGGCCGCAGGGAAGCGGGAAGCGCGGCGGTGCCATCRGAACGGGGGAAATAGGAGCTCTTTGTTCTCCCTTTTCTGTTGTTTTAGCTGCCGCTCTAGTGCGCTAATCGCCTTCAGTTCTGGGTATTTTCCTTCCTCCAGAGATTAATTCATGTAGGAACCCGTGTCCAGGAGCAGCCCTTTATGTTTTAACACCTCCTCACAGGAGGAGGAGGAAGGGGATTGAAATGCAGTGCTTCCATTTCCCCATTGTCCTTTCTTTCCCATTGCCGGCTGTGTTGGCGGTCACCTCCCAGGCCAGCCACGTTCTGGGCAGTGGTAGGTGCCACCCCRGCGGTGGGATCCCTTCTGGCAGGACCTCCAGCTCGGGATGCCTGTGCAGATGCAGCACTGGCTGCCATGGCTGTGTCTCCAGCTTGTGGCTCTCACAAAGGAGCAAACAGGGAGACTCTGGAACAGGGCTTTCCTAAATTCTCCATTTTTTTTAATGCCCAAGATTAGTTAGTATATTCTAGTAGTATGCTATATAGAAGTTTTTTGTTAGTAACTGACTATAGGACTCTGAAGATGCTTTTAAGCAAAGCTGTACAATTTTCAGCAGCTATAAACTCCCATTCTCTTATGTTCTCTCTGTGTCTCTTATCATGCCTTTCACTGGGGGGTGTATGGAAGAGAAATTTAGTGGGGATGAGTTAAGAGAGTCTTATTGATATAGAGGGGGAAGGATTTGGGGCAGGTAGGGAGCCATATCATGTTAAACTTTTCTTGGATTGTTTGCGATTGTTCTCTTCCAGCCTGGAAGAGCCTGTTGTTTGAGCGAAGGTTGAAGGGGTGAATCAAGGATGGGAATAGCAGAGGGCAGGAAAGCTGAGCTAAGAGAACAAGGTAGCAGCATGGAGCACCTCAAGGTGACATGGTGGTGCCCTTACCTGATGTCCCCTGCTCTGAGGTTGTGCCAAGAGCTCCGTAACCGGTCTGACCGTGCTCCCCCTTCTGGAAACAGGAGAAAGGAGGCTCCTGGGATGTGCTCGGCGCCYGTGGGAGCTCCTGGCATGAGGGCTGGGCAGGACTGTGTAGCCCAGCTCSAGGTGGCACAAGAGAGAGCGCCCGGGCAGAGCGAGCAGTGCCCTGTGCCCTGCGCTTTCCCACAGCTCTCAGGCATTTTGGGACGGGCTCGCAGTTTCACCCAGGCTGCGATTCAGAGAAGAAGCAAGGAAGAAACACTCAAGTTTCTGCAGTTTGTTTCCTCGAGCCTTGGCTGGCAGGGCCCTTAAGCCTCCTTCTCTCCAAAGCCTGTGCCTCTTATTTGAAAACCCAAGGAATTTGAAAAGGCTCCTAGCCAGGCTGTTCATCCCACAGAGGTTTCCTGGAGTGACTTTGTCCCCCTCCACTCCCCTCTCTCTGCACATCCCCTGGAAGCAAAATTTTTCCAGCTTAGGGCCCTGCCATCCCAGCCTCATTAAAATGTTAATGACTTTCTTGTTCTGTAGCTTCTTCCAGACAGGAGGGGTAGTGCATAAGCTCCCTGTAGTTAATTTAATGCATGCTGATGGTTGGGATTCTGTACATTTCAGCAGGCTCAGTGCTCTGCCTTTTAGTTCCACACTTCTCCAAGAAGAAGGTCTTTGTTTGCCTTTGGTAAGGATTATGTCAGTGGAGTTTGGAGGATTAATGTTTCTGTCATGATACCATATGTGCCCTAAAATACCCTGAAGTTGTTAACTGACTTAATTGCTGCTTGTTTTCTTTTTTCTTTTTTCTTTTTTGAAAGAAATTGCTACCCCCATAGCCTTTCTGTCAGTAACTTATGTGGTGCAGATTTGGGTTTTTTTTTGCTTGTGCCATTCTGTGCCTTTTCCAGCCTCTGACAGGTTTTTGAGCAGCTTGCTTCACCCAGCTGTTAGCATAATCAGAATAAAATCCTTGTGTGCCTTCYCACTGAGGAGGGGCTGCTGGATATTAGGAGCCGCTTTGGCCTTTCTAAACTCGAGGTGAGTCTCCCTGCAGATGCAGGAGCTGCGTTTGGATGCGCCCACTGTCCGCATCGCTCGGCGTGGAATTCCAGCCTCTTTGCAGGTCCWGGAGAGGAGCCTTCCCTGCTTGTGTGTGTGCCGGCTTGTGTGCTGGCCCTGTGCTGAGAGCCCGGCCGGATTCCCGTCTCCACGGGTCCCGGCTGCTGCTCCCGTGGTCTCCACGGAACGTGCTGACCTCGCGCTGGGCGTGCGAGCCGCGCCGTCGGGGCCGCGTTCGCCGGGCGCCAGCAGACTCTGTGCTTAGCGCCCGCACGTGCCCTCGGGCTCGCAGCGAATGCAGGCATCCCGGGGAGTTTTCCCTCTGTGGAAACACCCTGTGACCCTGCAGGTTGTTCCCGGGCCCCAACCACGAGCCCCCAGCAGCGAGAAGGTGCAAGGGAGTGTCGAGTGGGAGCGAAACGGCGTGGGGAGACCCACACGGTGGGTGGGTGGGCGATGTGGGTCCTGCTAGGGACTCCTTCCTCGCAGAGCAGGGGGGGCCCCTGGCCTTGGGAATGGAGCTGAGCCTGGGCAGACCCTGCCGTGCTTCCCGGGAAAACCTCTGGCCTTGCTGTGCTCCCAGCCTCTAGAGGTATCCAGTTCTAGGTATGCAGTTATGTAGATGCACGTTCTGGCTGCATTATGGATTGGGTGCCATTAATTTCTGTAGTTTATGCTTAAACTGACATATTAACTGACATCTGGCTAAAGTAAACATTTAATTTTTGATGGAAATGTCATGACATCAGGATTTTCCTTCCAGAATTCTGTTGGAATATGTTAGGATGATACATTATACTATCATTTGTGTGAAAATAAAGACGTGTTTTTTTATTTTAAGATAAATCTACTGCTTTGGGGTTAACCTTAAATAG